CAGATGCAGAATTTAAAGAAACAGGAGGGACAGAGAGAAACAATTAACAAAATAACTAGATATACAAAAAATAAGAAAACAAAATATCAAACAGAAATATGAGACAGAAATAACACAAACACTGACAAATACAGGCAGCCTAGACACTGAAGAACACTGGAAAGAGATTAAAACAAAAGTAATTGACGCAGCAAGCCAGATAATAGGCAAAAAAGAAAGAAACAAAAAGAGAATGGTTCAATGATGAAAGTAAAGTAGGCCATGCAGAAAAGAAATGAAGAATAAGAAATATATGGAAACTAGAACCAGAAAAAAAGAGCAAGCTACGAACATGCAAAACAGAATGCCGATAAAATATGCCGAAAAGAAAATACAAGAACAGTTATATACAAAAAATGAAGAAAATCTCTAAAACAACAATATAAGGGAAGCATATAGATATCTTAGCAATTTAAGAGAAAGATACAAACTCCAAACAAACCTATGCAAAAATTAAGGAGGGCAAATAACCAGTGATCCAAAAGAAATGAAATCATTTTGGAAAACTTATTTTCAAACTCTCCTAGGGACGCAAGAAAATAAAGAAAGATAAAGGCATTACATTGAGGGAGACATAGAAAATGTAGAACCCCCGACGTTGGAAGAGGTGAAACAAGTAATACGAGCACTTAAAATAACAAGGCTCCTGGTATTGACAATGTCCCTTCTGAGCTATATAAACTAGGTGGTGAACACCTAGTAAGACACATGCATTTGCTTATGAAATAGATTTGGAATGAGGAAATGATCCCTAGTGACTGGAAAGCCAGGAAGGATTATATGCCTAATCTATAAACAAGCGGATAAACTTAAATTCGAAAATTACATCGGCATATACCTTTTGTTCACAGCGTACAAAGTTTTTACTTACACTAAATAAACGACTCCAAAACCTGAATGAAAATATTGTCGGGAAATACCAAACCGGTTTCCAACAAGAAAGATTTATAACTTACCAACTATTCACAGTGAAATAAATTCTAAACAAATCGTGGAAATACTAAATTGACGTCCACAACATATTTATAGATTGCCAACAGGCCTACGACTTAATTAAGGAACATTAATTAAGAAAATAATTAAGACAATATTAAATATTCCAAAGCTTTAACATCTCCCAAAAATACATACGACTTGTTAAAGCAATAAAGGACTCGTCAACAGCAACTATCAGAGTACCAAAATAAGAGGTCCAAGATTTCTCTGAGAACTAAGCAAAACTAAAGCAGACAATTATATAAATACACAGTTATACTTATACAAAAACCCAATAGTATTAAAACAAGTCCCGAGTCATATTGAGCGATATCTTTAATATGCGCCATGTGTAAATTACTAGAAAAAATTATTTATAATAGACTGATTATGAATGAAAGATGGCACCTGGACAGACAAGATTTAATACTCAAGAACAAAATGGTTTTAGAGAGCAAAGGTCGACCATAGATAGTATCATATATTTGGAAAGTGACATTTTTGAAGCAATCGCACTAAGAAGTAAATGTCTAGCGGTTTTCTTTGACATATCAAAAGCTTTCGATATAGCCTGGCACGATCATATAATAAAAAAATTACGTAGTTGAAACATTCAAGGTCACTGCCTTTCGTATTAAAAACTTCCTTTAAAATAGAGCTGAGTAAGGCCAAACAAGACAATATCAGATATACTGTATCAAGAAAATAGCATTCCACAAGGCTAGTTCATAAGTTCTATACTCTTCATAGTGGCATTCAATGATATATATCTCAAAAATCTAAAATCGCCTATAAAGGCACGCGTCTACGTAGATGATCTTGTAGTTTTTTGCAATGGTAAAAATATACAAAACATATTTTCTTACACACAGAACTTTATACAACACTTAGAACTCAAACAAAAGAACTCAAACAAAAAACAGGTTTCACTGAAAAAACTCGTGTCATCTTGTTTTTTAAGGAAAATGTCACAGACACCCCCAACCTAAGACTATGTGATAAGCTCTAAGCTGGAAACTTTATATTACAGATCAAAGTTAGATTATGGATCTACTGGGTATTCTAAAGCCACTAAGAAATTGCTAAAAAAACTTGACAGTCTTCACAATCTATCTTAACGTATAATATCTGGAGCTTTTTGCACAACACCAAACGAAAGTATTTATTGCTAGGTTGGTTTATATAAAGTGTCGGTATTGCAGAAAATTTGCTGTTTGTCCATGATTTTTCAGGATGCGACAAAACATCAGCAGCTTACAACATAATTAGAAAAAAAGTTATAAGGCCTAAAATAAAATTTGGTCAAACATTTTTAGTTATTTTTGTTTAAAACTTTTTAATTTTACATTTTATGATAAAAAATAATACAAATAAAGTTGTACACAATTTACATTGCTAAAAATAATGTACTTTTTTGCTGTAAGGTTGGTAGTTTATGAGATACAGCGCGAAAACCCTTTGCACCATTTTTTGCAAGATGACGTCTGGGAGACCCACACGTTAAAAGCTTATACTTAACCCCCCCCCCCCCCACTCAAACAAAAAATGTCCTGTGAAATCTACACCCTAAAAAAGGCCTAAAATTATAACATTTCAATCTGCTAATTAAGCCTCTGGTTAAGTCTATTCTAATATAGTTTACGTGTTCTGTCATCGTAAAGGCTGCTTATAGATTAATATTATAATTAATTTTAATAATTTAATTTAATATGAGTTAATAATAATAACAAGAAATAAAAAGAATGAAAATAAACCTACTGGGAATCAACGAAATGAGATGGCCAGAGTCAGGATCATGTAAAAAGAACGGAAATTACATTATTCCGGTAACAGCACAGAAGACCCGCATCATAAAAATGGTGTAGGTCTATTAGTAACATCAGAACTGAGTAAATATGTGACCAATTTCGTACCAGTCTCGGATAGAATAATATTACTCCAAATAAATACTCAACCATTTAAAACTAACATACTTCAAATCTATGCCCCGACTGCAGACAGAAAATATCTTAATAAAAAATAATATAATCCTTGTAAACACCTGGTATAAACTACCCAAGCGACCACTATACACTTGGAAAGCCCCATTTGATGATGTCAATAACCTTAAGTCTTCAAGAAATTAAATAGACTATATACTTGAAAATGAGCGCTTCCGAAATGTCGTCAAAAAAGTCACTACATTTCCTGGGGCAGATATTGGATCTGATCATCAACCACTTGTAGCAGATATTAAACTAGGGTTAAAATGAATTTAGCGACAAAAACCAAAAACCAATGTACTTAACTTTGACGATATAAACATAAAACATAACATTAAAAAAGAATTTAACAATAGAATAAAAAACATCGGAGAACAACTAGATCCAGAAGAACTATGAAGTGAATTTTAAAACCAAGCTAACGAAATCTCCACAAACAATGTTTATAGAAAAAACTTAATCAAGAAAAATAAATGGATGAGAGACGACATCTGTCTTTAATGAAACCAAACTCTAAATTTCGCTTCTAATGAAACAGAATATAGACACAAATAAAATTGTGTATTATATTAAAAAAATGCCGTGACCAAATAAAAGATGTATTTGCATGTTCTGTAGACTTCGAAAAGGCATTCAATAAATTGCAGCATGTAAAATTAATGCAAATACTGAAAAATATCGAAATAGATGACAAGGATATTCGTGTCATTAAAAATGTTTACTGGAATCAAACTGCTATCGTAAAAATTGGAGATAACTACACCGATGAAATCTCTATACAACCAGGAGTCAGATCAGGTTGCATTTTGTCGCCAACATTGTTTTATGTTTACTCGGACCAGTTATTTAAAAAGGCACTTGAGAGACAACTGTATGGAATAAAAATCAACAGGAAACTACTTAATGTGATTAGATATGCAGACGATACAGTTATTCTATCAGATAATATTGAAGGTCTTCAAATTCTGCTTAATCGTATTTAAGAGGTAGGAGAGGAAATGGGCATTAAAATAAACTCAAACAAAACAAAATTTTTAGTGTTTAGTCGTGACCCACATCCCGATGCAAAGCTTCAATTAAACGGAGTCCACGTTGAGAAAGTTCACAAAATAACATATTTGGGAACTGTGATAATGGACCAACTAGATCCAGACATAGAAATAAAACGGAGAATAGCAATGACTAAAACTACTTTAATGAAAATGAAGTCATTTCTTTGCAATAACCATCTCAGTTTGGAACTAGGTCAAAGAATGGTTAAGTGCTATGTTTGGTCCGTATAGTGCAGAAATGTAGACGCTAAATGTATCAATCATGAACAAAATTAAGCATTGGAAATGTGGATTTATGGACGAATGCTGAAGATACCTTGGACAGCAAGAAAAACTAATGAAGAAGTACTAAGGAGCGTCAACAAAGATAGAGAACTGCTAAATACTGTTAAACATCGAAAAATGTCGTATCTGGGACATAATATAGTAAGGAGAAGTCGATATAAAATATTACAACTGATCCTTAAAGACAAAATAGAGGGCCGTAGAGGTGTAGAAAGAAAACATGTTTCTTGGCTAAAAAACATTCGTGAATGGACTCAGATCCCAAATGCAGGACAATTATTCCATATTGCAGAAGATGGAGAAGTCTAATTATGATATGGCACGCGAAGAAGAAGTATTTAATTTTAATTAATTTTTAATTATATAATTATAATAAACGAATTTTCTATTGACCTGATTCTGTGGGTAGTTTTTATATTGCTGGAAAATCAGATTTCGAATCAAATAGTAACGATTATAATTAGCTATCATAACCCGAACAACTAACTGAACCATAAATTACATAATTGCACTCAATAAAAACTTTAAAAACTCTGTTAAAATGATTTTGAGTTATATAAACCAATTTTTTTATATTGCTTTAAATTTTTTTTACAAAATTTAAATATAAATTCTAAATAAAGTTTTTAGTAAATATATTACATTAAAAACTAAAAACATAACTCACCTCCACCATTTTGCTGACACAAATAAGGAAACCTCCATATATTTCCTAATCCAACCGAGTAGCCAATAATTGAGAGAAAGAATTGAAGTTTTCCTGACCATTCAGCCCTATTGGGATCACCGTCAGCCGCTTGACTGCCCCTGGAAATGATAGACCCTCTAGGGCCTTGTAGAACTATCGTAACTCCTTGCTTGCCTCTTGATTCTGCGGGACCGTTCATGCCGTTATTCAGAGGTGCCAACTCGTGTCCGTGCTTCGTCATTTCTGTCGATGGGAGTCTTTCGGGCATATTATCAGTCCAAGAAACAACTTAAGTCCGATTTTGAGCACATAGATTTTAAAAGTTCATTAATTGATTAGCTGAATTCTTCGTTTATGTTTTAAATAAAAGTTACAACCATGATCTGTAGGAAAAAGTTTGGTAACTTAAACTTTTGTTAAAGAGCAAAAGCTAATGTAATATTAATTTATTATTATATAGTTTGTAATTTACACATACAGGGTGTTTCAAAAACGTATGTCATAAATTAAATAACGAATTTTGGGGACAAAAATAAATTGATTGAATCCAACTTACCGTAGTACAAAAGTGTACACAAAAAAAATTACAGCCCTTTGAAGTTACAAAATAAAAATTGTTTCTCATTATCTCATTATCTACTTGACATTTTATAATAAAAATGGACACGTTACTTTTTTGTTCTGAAAGCATTTTTCATACAAAAGAAACAACAAAATCTAAGTGCACGGAAAAATTTTAAGTGGGAGCCCTATATTGACTAATATTTAGTACGATCCGTGTAACTAGCACCCTCTATGAGAATCAGATATAAAAACAAATTCATGAGATGTATCAGCTTTCAAAATATATTTGTATAAAATTTCATTACAATGTTGCCAGTAGTTTCGGCAAAATCGTTAAAATTGCGTAAATTTTTTTTTCTTCAACGCCCTGTATCTTGAAAACGGATGGCGTTACAACAATTTTTTACTAAGCAAACCCCAATTATTTTTCAGTTTTTTATCTACCCTAGAGACGGGGTTACCTTTTGTTGAAACACCATGTATACATGCACTGTACAAAAAGTATAGTGCATTGTCATTAGATAGTAAAATTAATCGAATATTAGTAGTGAATTCAATGCCTGATTTAGTCACTAAAATTGGGAAAGATATTTAAATGGTACTTGATGATTTGTATTTTATCTGCTCATTAACTACCTATAATTATAGTTATGCAATACACTATCAATAAAAAAATATGAATGTTGGATGAAAATTAAAAAGAACAATCTACCAACGATAAATATCATTTTGATAAAACAGCTTAAGTATTTAATATCTTAGTAAAACAGTAAATAAAGATTATAGATATAATAGTAAAACTCGCAACAAAATTCATTATCATTTGATGCAATATTTTATCTTTAAGGGTTACGTTATTTAAAGATTAAACGAAATTTACAAAATCCTCAGAATTTCACTAAAATTATAAAATGCAATATATTATTAAAACTTGAAAAATATACACTGATTTTTCAAAGAATATTTAAAATGACGTGCCAATATGCCTACGTTGACTTTACAGTGAACAGCTAAATTATGGAATATTATAATTATTTACCGTCGAGTTTTGAGTAAAATCAGAGAACTACGAACGCAGAGAAGCGACACTCCTTTGATCTTGCGTGGGCAAGCCGCCAATGAGTGAAAATGACAGGAAAGCAACCAGCTAACTAATAGTCAGTGGGCATATCACACAATATAAATTCTTAAATAAAATTGAGCATTTATGTTGACTTTCAATAAATATGAAATATTGCACTGAAAAAATAATTACATGCAGGGCCGGCTTTTGTTGACATTCTAAATGGTGTAATTATTTTTGATTTACAAAAGGTTGCAAATACATCGCACAACGCAAAGTAATGGTAAAAATCGTATTGATGGAACCATAGACAAAAATACTTTTTTGTTTATTCTGATGTTGGCATTGATAAAACAAAAATACACCGATTCTTTTTGGCTTATGTTGATACAAGATATAATTTGTTCGTCGTGGAATTTCCTAATAAATTATCTTTCGTAATATAATCGAAAAATAACCAAGCCATTGTAACTGCCACGTAAATTTCACAAACTCTAAAAATTACAATTCTCTTTGGGTGAGACTGAGAAACAAGAAACTTTATATTGATATCAGTTGTTAATGTCATGGAAACCTATTAAAATTACATTTTTCCTTTAAAGTCAAATATTGGAGTAAACGATATTCGACTAAAACGAATAAAAAATCAAGAAGTAACTATTGTACGAGTATATTTCTATAAATATAAAAATGTAATAACCTAAAAAATAATCAAAAAAGTATTACGAATCATTACAAGAAAGCATTAGGAATATAAAAAGAATTTATATTATTGTCATTACACATGATTCGGATATACATAGTAAATCCAGACTTTCAGTTTTAAGTAATATTTCGATACAATTTATTTTGTTTACAATAGATTCAGAGTTAATACATACGATTTTTAGTTGATTGGTATTGCCTTTAAAATTATTTGTAATATCTAGTTTGCCTAAGCCGGATTTGTAACAATTATTTCTGGTTTTGTTGTTAACTGCGGTTAGTACAATTCTTACACTTGAAGTCAAAACGACGAACCATTGATCCTTCTAGCCAGATACTGGAATTGAGTACTTCATTTTTATAATCCAATGGATATGAAACTTTAAAGCTTGCTTGGTACTCCGTAACCTTTAACTTCTTGAAGTAGAAATGTATATTTGGAGCATTTACCTTTAAATAATTGGTCAAATCTTCCGGTGTATATTGTGGAATTATATTATGGTGTAAATAAATAATGATTGATTGGAGTAAGATTTATGTCTGTTTACTCTTAATATTGGCTATGATCATATGTGCTTGGTTGTAAATATAGTAATTGTCATCCAGTTCTAGTCTGTAACTAACTTTCGCAATAAAATAATTACTAAAATACTAGATAGTTGTGTCTGAGATTAGCGAATCGACTATACATACACTACATACATTCAGTATCATTGTATATCCAAGATGGACGCCGGTAAACAATAGCGGATTACATATTTTTTCACAACTACTTCAATAAGGGTATCAAATGAACATCCAATATGACCGCCAACAAAATGGTGGATTACATATTTTGGTTGGGCGTACTGTTGTACGCCAATGATTTTTTTATTTTTATTGACTTTCGAAAGGAAGTTTTATTGACAATTTTTTAACAGAACAAATTTTAAACAAAGAACTTTTTGTATTTATAAATAATACTTCATTACTTACAACTATAAGACTATTAGTATATTCTAAGTATATTGTAAGTAATGAAGTATTTAACTTTTGTCAATATTTCATCTTAATAAATTTACAGTTTTCTCCTGAAGTCACAAAATTGTCACTAAATATTGAGATATACAACAAATAAAGTTGTAATATTTTTTATTTGTAATTCCCATTTAAATATTTATTCCCTATGTTGTGTACACCGATCCATATATTTGATCTTTGTTATTTATATTTAACGAATTAAACATTGACAGACAACTTTTGTATATAGCAAAAAGTAGATGAGTAGTTAGTTTTTTCATAATTTAATGTAAGTTTGTTTATTTGCAACCATGTTTTTATTTTGAAGTCTTGTTCTGCTGTAATTTTAAGATTTTGTAATTTTCTATATAAATACTATATTCGTATTGTTGTCTGCGAGCGCTTTCACACCAGTAGGCCAACATCTGTTGATTTTTTGACCCGAGCCTTCGGAGACAATAAATTTAATGTTTTTATTTTGAACTATCCCTTGGCAGACCAAAGTTTATTTTTTTATTGCTCTACTTAACGAGAGCTCGGACGGACACGTCGGCGTCGGCTTACTGACAGAAAGTCAAATTAATACTATTATGTAATAACTAATAATAATTACAAAACAATAGTAATTACCTGTTATTATTCTTAGGAAATCTAAATAAACTTATTCCTTTTCATGTCACAGATGAACATAAGCGAAACGCACAACAATAACCAGAAGACATTTTAAATACTTATAAATTAAACTTTTAACTATAAACTATAACTATAAACTTATATATTTATTTTATATATTTTAACTATAACTATAAACTTTTAACTACTAAGTAAATTATATAAATGGTCAAATGCACTTGTATAGTCGAGTATTTGCCACAGGTGCCTACAGACTATCGTAAACAACCAGAGTTGAAGAAAACGCACGTGTTTTTGACAGTAAAGCAACCAGGTTCGCGCATGCGTATATAGAAACGGTACACGGATTTAGGGGCTCGTGTCGCTTCTCTGTGTTCGTAGTTCTCTGGTAAAATCCCGAAACAGGTATATTTTTGTTATAAAATACCCATCTTATAACGTACATAAAGTAGGAATGACGTCACCCGTGTAGATGTACTGACGTAATTGGATCCCATAGATTATGAGAACAAAATAATAGAGTAGAAATACTAAATTATGCTAAAGAAAACAATTTGTACATAACCAATACGTTCTTAAAAAAAAACAGAAAATTTTAGACACAGTAGTGTTAAGAACTGTAAAAGCAGGTAGTGGTCACAGAATGCTAACAACATGAATAAGAATTAACATAAGAGATAAAGAAGAAAACTTAAACGCCAGTCAAACAATAAGTACTTATACATGTAATAAAACAGAGAAAAATCAAATACAAACAAAAACTTACAAAACGTACTGAACTAATAGATAAAGAGACCTTAAAATCATAAAGAAACATTTTACGAAAACTATAACAACATTAGCAAAAGAATAGATCCACAATAATACAGATTAAATTCAAAAATTCACATGCAAGGAAACGCAAGCCAACAAAATTGTGCAAGACCGAACAAAAATAACAGAAATCAACAAAATAATTAAAAAAAAATGTAGGAAATGAATGTTGACGAAGCTGTCAACTTGGAGCTAAACGAAAGTTTTCGATGTCAAAAGGATTGGCAGTGGATCAAATCCCCTTCAAATGCATTTGCAAAATCAGAAATAAAGCAATTCTTATAATTCGAGATTATAATAACAGAAATAATTTTTTGTTCGAGATCGAGGAGTTCTACGAAAAACTGGAGACCACAATCGCTAACATACCAAATAAAGAACTTACTATAATATGTGGCGACTTTAATGCAAAAGTTGGCAACACTACACAAAATGACGACTTAAAGAATGTACTGGGAAAGTTTGGCATAGGGCAGAGAAACGAAAAAGGA